TAAGAGTAATATGTAAATGAAAAATCCTTGAGACAATGTAGAATGTTCAAGCTGATCTGATTCAGGTCAGAGATAAAAAGGAGAAAAGAACAGGAGACTCATACATGCTATTTGTGGCACATATAAAAAAAACACAAGCAACCTGATTGCAAAGTTACAAAGAAAATTTGCACATTAGTAGATACATTATCACCTCATGTAAATACACTTTGAACTATCTCAAACTATATCCCCTAAACAGTAAAATATACTATTTCAAACATTAAGTTTCAATATGGATCTACTCACATAGTTACTGTATATATTTGAAAGATTGCAAGTTGGTTAGTTTAGCTTCATTCCCCCTCCCTTTTTCTTTCATTTAGTTTTTCATAAAATATAAAGCTTCTCAGGATCAAATAAATTATATGGTATTTATTGTAGGAATTAACTTTAAAATTAAAATGTGTGCTTGTTAACATAGTTCCTGACGGTCTACAAGAGATTTGGGCTGTGTCTACACGATAGGTAAAGACTCATTTCAATGGGAAAAAATTAAGTCAGGCAAACTGATTTCACATAAATGAAATTGTTTTGACTACGCTTTTCACTTCGTAACGGTTTCCTTGGCATTTTTTAAAACATTAGGTTTTATTTAGAAATCATTACAGAAAAATTTGACATTTCCCTAAGATGAGTGGATAGCTATGCAGATAATTAGTCTGCAATAAAGAGTACGGTATTTTTTTGTCCTTAATTGGATTAGTTATCTATGTTGATCAAACTTATTTGCCATTGATATTTTGGATTTATTCAGTATAATCCTTGGTTACCTGTAACAAGATATTCTGTATTTTCGGGCACACACACATACACACACACAAACATTCAGCCCCAAGGCAATTAAAAATAGAGTTAAAAACCGTTTTGGCAGCAAAGTGAGTAGATTATAAGTACCTTCTGAAAAGCTACTCTCCAGCTGGCTTTTTCTCACTGTGTCTTCGCTGTGACAGTGCATTAAAGTTTCATCTAAAACATTTGGGTTTTGTTTATGATCCATTGAGAAAATAAATTCTCCCAGGAGTGAAGGGCGCACTGGTGTGATGCCACTGAGCGATGTGAACCACCGCAATATGTATTTAATGAACTGCCATTATAAGGTGGAATCACAGCCGTTTAAAATGTCAACAGATTTGTTCATTCTAACACTGGGAAATAAAATACTCTCGACTGCTTACAACCATTCTGAAGCTAGTTTCTCCCCTTCAGTGAAAGAAGACAGTGGAAAAATGCAAATAGCACTTCTCCTGAGGGTGTCAGTCCGAGAGGAGGATCAACGGAGGAGATCCTGTGGCTGAGCTGATAGGCACTGCTAGAGACGGCTGAGCTACAAGGAGGCAGAACCTAGGTGGGATGTAGGGAGACTACCTCTATTCTCTTAGACTTGGCAATTACTCCCTAACAGCTGCCAGAACCATGCCTCGATGCAGAATTTCTCAGGCAAATGCATATTAACTTTATATAAATATGCATCTCGAAGTGATGCATAAGAAGACGGAATGGACACTCTTTGTGATTATTAATACAAACACATACTTACAAGTTTCATGAATGCTTAGGACACAATTTACACAAATCAGTGAAGGTCAGATCACAAGGTTCTACCTGAGGTTGATGAGTCCTACAATGGGGGTATCTTGAAAAGTCAAGAGAACAGCAAAGGATTGCTATCTGTGGGAGCCAAAGGAAGTCAGGGCTTCTCCAGGAAGAAGGGGACATATAAAAAAAATAGAGATGAACAAAATTCACCTACTTCATAATTCTGCCCAGGGCCCACCTTGGCCTCAAAATTTGATAGCTCTCACACAGAAAAAAATCTAACCATGAAATTCCTAAGCCACAACTCAGTGGATCCATTTTATTGACCTGTGTTAGACTGCTAACATACTTTTCATTCTTGCAGACTAAACAGTTGCTTGGGGGAGCAGAATTTATGTACATGGGGGCTTGTGTTCTTCAAGCCCCTACATCATCCTTCCCTGAAACAGTAGTCTACACAGGGGGTTTAAGAGTTTCTAATTGATAAAATAACAATTTTTCAACTCTTTTGAATGCGTCTTCTTTTCACTCTTGTTAATTCCTCCTGTCCCCAAAGTATTGCCAGGTTATAGATAATAATTGTCACGCTCACTTGACCTAAAACATGTATGCAGTCTACATATCACTACATCTTAAAACACAGGCACACACATAGGGTTTCACTATAACGTAGCGAACATTCTGATTTTACCTACAGCCATTCTCATTTTAACTATAATTTTAAAACTCAAGAAATTGTAAACAAAAATAATAAACATCAATAATTTCTTTCCCTTGGTAAAGATAGCCTAAATTAGTACAAACCATAAATGCATGTGCAAAACCACATTAACAATATTTGTCCCTATATCAAAGTGTTCTGACACAAACTGCTAGTGATTGTTGAGCCACTGAGGTTGTAATGCATTTCTGAAACACGGTATAATCATCAAACCTAAATATATCTCTAATTAAAACAAATCCCCCTATGAGTATGTAGATGAAAAGGAAAGTGCTCTTGATATATTGCTGTTCAATTTAGCCTCCACCTCTTTTGCAGAAATCTCCCAGAGATGCTGCAAAGCCATTAGAGTTGACTCCATGCTAAGGCTTCTAGTTTAACTCCAATAGCTTGTGTAAAATCCTGGACTATAAATCACTGTTACGATCTATGCCCAGAAATCTTTCTAGTTGTATTGTTTATGAGAAGGATTGGAGGAAGATACACTGAGCAACATCTTTAGGGTTGACTGATCAGAAAATATAAATGATATTTTCAAAACAATGAGTGAAAATCTTCAGCACTTCTCCATTCAACATGTAGAAAACTAAGTAGAATTATCATATTCTTTAAAAATGAAGCCCACAAAGGTACCTACCTCTAATTATTATTAGGCTCAATAGAGAATATATGAAAATCACTGAAAAATCTGAAGGTGCTTTAAAATATATTATTATTACTAATACTATAGTTTTGCTTTAAATATTGCAAGCCTAACTCTTTATTGCCCACTTTAATATGCCTGTGATTTTGGTTTCCCATTTGTCTTCCTGAATATCAGTGTCAATTTCATACACACACAGAGAGATATATACATAAACATATATATATATATATCATAGCTATTTGGTCTCATTGTCATTTTTATTATTACATTATATTGGTAGGTCAGTCTACTTATTTCTTCTAGTGGATCCTATACCTGTACATGTATTTTTAAAAATTGATGTCATTTAGTGCAAAACTGACCCCTAGTGTCCTTGCCACCATATTCCTATAAATTTATCCAAAAAAGTTTGATAACAATAAAAAAGTGCATGATTTCCTGAATTTGTTTTCTATGCAGCTAAATTTGGAAAAATTTTAGCTTTCACAAGATCCTTTTTTTCTTCTCCTTTTGTTTTCTTCACTTCTTTATTCCCTCTTCTTGTAACTTAATTCCCCTTTCCCCCCCTCTTTTCACTGCTTTCTTTTCTATGCTTTCGCTGACTCATTCTCTCTCTCATATCATTCCTCTTGTTTTTGGGGTTATTAGGCTAGTTAGCTGCTGAATTTTCTTACCTACACCTGAACAGAATGTGCTTTCTGAGAACTTTTACAATATAAAACATTCCCCATGGAGTGTTTATGTGAGTATGGTGCATGTGAAGGCGAAGGGCTAAGTGAAACATTACCTTGGCCATTTAGAAGCTACAGGGGATCAAGGACAGACTGAAATATGGGACATACAGACAAATGGGATGATTTTAACATGGAACAAAAATTAAGTAGGTGAAAAGAAAAGGGATATATCTTGTAATTTCTTTGTTGTAATTAACAACACCAAAACTGATAAAACTTTTCATCTGTAGTCATCCAGTATATGTATCTTGTATCAACAACTGGATGTAAACTAACAGAGGACAGGTACCTATATTCAACTTATCTATATCCCTCAACACATAGCATAGCTCCTCATATACACCAGGCAAAAGGGGTTTGAGTGACATAGACAAATCATTATGAAACTGGTGACTACCCCAAAAACATTGACTAAAATTGCTAAAATTACTATCTAAGGAATTTAAACAATGCACATTCACACACACACATACACTTATCCCCAAAAAGAAAGAAAATTATATGAAAACATGAAATTGGAGATATGTACAAATACACAAGAGAAAATTATATGAAAACATACACACAGAAAAATGAATGAATGACTTTTCAATCTTAGTTGGTAAGTTACTTAAAAATAATCAAGAATATTTTCATTATTTTCAGTAACCTCAATTTCCAGGAATTGATTATAGTGAATAAGCAACCTGTAAGTAGCTATGCAATTAATATTTGTAGTGTGATATTGACTTATTATTTGTACTTGTATAGGTCATGTTATCTTACCTATGCCTCTGTCTGTGAAGTGACAACACTATTTGCCTTTTCACCCACCTCCTCTGCGAAGATGCTCTTCAAATAAATGAGGTAATGTTTGGGAAATGTTTGCAGCTTCGCAAAGAAACCCACTGCATACATCTAAGATATTATTACTATTCCATATTCAAGCCTGGTATGTTATTGCCTCTGCTTTAAATTGAAATTATACTGTTTGAGTTCTTGGTTTCTGATCAAAATCTGGGTCAATGTAAGAGAAACATTATTTTTAATTTTAATTCTGAGGCTCTGTTCGAATCCCCTGCACGTGTGAGGGGAAACTGTAGGACATAAACAAAGCACATAAATCAAGCTTTGAAAGAGAAAAAATCTCTATCTGGAATGATTTTTTTTTTTTCAATGAGGAGCGTGAACACTATTTCCCTAGAGGAATATTTCGGTCCAGGAAGGAGGATAGTGCACATGCAGTGTGAGTGTGTGAGTGTGTGTGTGTGTGTGTGTGTGTGTGTGTGTGTGTGCTGTGCGTGCGCGCCCGCGGAGAGAAGGGCGGGGGAGGCGGATGAGGAGGATGAGATCATAGTTTCAGGATCCTCAGGAAACCCTGGTACTGGCAGCAGCCAGCCTCTGCTGTGCCCACATGACCCACAACTCTGGCAGCGGACCCGGCACTTCCAACATTATTAAATAATAAGAAAGCGGCTCCTACTCCATGCCCAAGCCTCCCTACAGACCAATGGACACCTTCTAAGAGTTTGGCGAGTCGGTGACTGAGGCGCCCGTCCATTCCAAGGTGTGTGCACAGCGTTTTCTTCCTTGACAGCTCCGGGGTGGGGGAGGGCGCGGGGATGAAGGGGTCCGTGTGCCGGGCGAGGAGTGGGCGCGAGGCCGGGCTGCCGCGCTGCCGCGCTGCCCCCGGCCACCCGGTGCCGCGGAGCCCGCCGCGGGGCGGGAGGTGCACATGACGCGCAGCCCCAGCTGCGCAGGGACCGCAGCCGCCCACGGCGCCGGGGCGCGGGCACAGGCGGCTCGCGCCGGAGCAAGGGCAGGCGCCGCGCACCGGGCAAAGTCAAGAGTGGAAGCGGGCGGAGAGCGCCGGCTGAGGAAGGGCTTCGCCCCAACGCCCACTCGCGGGGTTCCCACCTGTGCGCCGGCGCCGGCCGCGGCGAGCGCGAAGCATGTGCCGGGCACCGCAGCCAGGACTGCGGCGCGGCGCCTCCCCGGGCGGCGGGCGGCGCCTCGGGCCCGCCGGGCGGCGGTAGCGGCTGCTGCAGGATGGCCGGCCTGGGGGCGCGGGGCCGCGCAGGTAAATCTCCCCGCCCGCGAAGGCCCCGGCCGCCCCGCAGCCCGCTGCCGCCGCGGCGCCGCTCCCGGGGTGGCAAGGGCAGCCGGCTCCCTCGCGTCCCTGGTTGAGTTGTTTTTTTGTGATTGCTGCCCTCTTGGTCATCCTCGCGGGCTGAGCTGGTGGGAGGTGGCGTGGCCACCTTCATTAGGGATGACACGCACGTTGGGGAACAGTCTGGGGGTACTGACCAGGAAATCCGCGTTGGGGTCCTTCCCAGCCAGCGGCGTCTGCGCGTGTTGCAATGCACTGCGGTGCCCCGGCGCTTGGTCGAGTGGGAGTGGGCACCGGGGACTGGGGGGCGGTGGGCGCAGGTGGGTATGGGGGTGAGTGCCTTCGGCTTTTATAGCCTGTTGCCCACTTCGAAGTTTCTGCTGGACAGAGAGGGCTGGCAGGTCCGTTCTAGTACCCAGAGTGGGAGGTGGAGAGAGGTGTCTGTCAAAAGACCAAAGCCAAAGAGAGAAGAGGGGTGGCGACGGCCTGGAACTCAATGGTACCATTCCTGGGACTTGATGACAAAACTTTGCTCTTTGGCAGGATATGGCTTTTGGAAGATAAGTGTAGAACTTCTAGGGAAAATATTAAATGTACACTTGCAGTGAAGATTACCACTCACTAGGTTCTTTCTTACTCTAAAAAATGGTCTTTTGAGTTGATTTTTATTTAGACTCAGGTTTTCCTGTTACCTGTTACGATCACTTGGTATTTAATGTATTTGTGTTTCCTTTTGAACATAAGAGATATCTGTATTGTTGAAGTATGCATAGTTATTATTTTACAAAAAAAAAGAAACTCCCCCCCTTTTTTTTTCTTTTTTTTTTTCTTATTCTAAAGGTAGATACTTTAGGGAAAAAAACAGCACACTACACATTCCACAGTTTTATGTGGTTTAGCTTTATTCACTCTCTTAATTTTTACACCACGGTGAGGGGTAGGTAATATTATTATCCATCTTTTACAGATGAGAAAATCCAGGAATAGAGAAGTAAAATAACTTACCCAAGATCATACAGCTATTAAGTGTTGGAGTCCAGTTGTGTTTATGGTGTGCTTTTAACCAACTTATTGTACCTAAAGTCTTCTGTATGGTATATTGACCATATCTTTCTGTGAAGACGAACCTCATAACTGACTATGTGCTCCACATTTGGGACAGTTAACTTTTTCTATTTTTTTAAATCTTTTTCTAACTTTTAGTACTATGATTATGGCAGATATCCTTTGAGTAGTTTCCTTTTGCCACAATCAACCAAGTTCCCTACGATAATTATAAATTAAAGTAGCACTTAACAGCAAAGTTAAGATTTTCAGCGTTAAGATTTATCGGCAAATTACTATAACGCAGATGGCTGAAGCTATATATTTCTTTGCACTTAATTTTAAACTTACTAAGTTATTAGTCTATTCTTTGTTCAAAACATGGCCATCGTTTTCTTCAGAACACCATCATCTTGCAGAATTTTTGAGCAACTTTAATTGTATTTAATCCAATCACTCTGACAAGAATTTGGGCAGTTTTAAAAGAAGAATTATGCAATTCTCTTTCAACTATCTGTGATTAAAAGTAGGCTAGATTTTGAGGGCATTGGAGTCTGTCATGTCTTAGCCAGTTGTATGTACTTTATACAAACTTGTGTAGGAAGGAAGATTGAAATCAAATTTTATCATTAGTTCTAAGTTGAAATACTTTTAAAATCTCCATTTGTTTTAAATGAATCGTGATGTGAAGGAAGGTCTCAGTAGGGTGAACTCCAACTTATTTAGAGAATTACTCTCACATGTTTAGAAAATTACTCTTCATTTGAGCTTATCATGGAGCTTTCATACTATTCATTTTATTGGACAGATGTCTCTCTTAAGTCTTCATCTGTTATTTTTGAAGTAAATTTAATTACTTCTTTACATAACAAGTTTCAAAATTATTTTGACATTCATGTATTTTCTTTAATTCTTATATTTCAGTTTAATTAAATTCAATATACATAATTTCAAAATCACACTTATTCAATATTATAAGGAAAAAGAGACTAGAATCCAACTGAACTACATGGAAACGTGATCTATGGACATGAGAAAAATTATCCAGCTCTTCAATGGTTAATCCCCTCCCCCACACACCCCAATTATGGCTACATCTTTATTTGGGGATGCTCCAGTGTAGTTCTGTGGTCAGAGTGGTTGCATGCCATCAAGCACAAATATTTTTGACATTGAAATTGAATTTGAATTTTCCAAGTCTATTTATATAAAGTGTTGATTGTTATTAGGGCATAAATGCTGTGATACATACATAGGTCCTTTCTTAAAACTGATTCAAAATTGTTCCAGTTTGCTAGCTTCTGTTACTTATTTTAGAGACAGCTTGCTACTTTTATCTCACTTGGTAGTTTTGACATGACCTTTTCTTTTCAAGTCCCACACCTCTAGTTTTGAGAGAATTGTGCTGTCTCTGCTTCCGGAGAGCCTCTCTGTTCCAGGTGCCAAGTGGAGACCTGGAGATCAATGGTGAGCATACAGATGTGTAAGCCCTGATGGCACACGGGGACAGGCTTTAATAAAGGAATTATACAAATACATGATTACTTGCAAAAAAGGTTCCTGAATGAAAGAAAGAATTCTATGAGAATATGTAGAGGATTCTACATATTCTAGACACAGAGGTGAGAACAGGATGCTTGAAAAGTCACATATTTGTGGAGGAATGATGTGTGAGGTGCTGACTAAGTCCAGCTGTATTTCTAAATGCTTGCCTGTTAATTTTCTGAATTATTTTCTGAATCAGAGACATATGTGTCACTCTGGTTATCTCTTTACTTCTTTATCCTAGGAGACATACTACTTCCCCTCATTATCCCATGGGCATGGGGAGGTTTACAAAACTTCCATCAGTACTTTTTAAAGCATGCAGAGCATGTACTAACCTTATATGGTTATTGTCCTATTTTCAAAGAGTTATGTAGGTTTAATGAAATATAGTCATTTTCTTCCTTCACCTTAGCAACTGCTTTCAAACTAAAAACAAAAGGTATTTGTACATGTATGTGTGTGTGGTTTTCTTTGTGGTGGTTGTTAAAGTGGCAGAATGTTTCAACACTGGAATTTAATTGATTCATCACATAGTCCCTAAGATTCTCTGAAGTGCCCAAGGGAAGAGAAGAAGCGTCAGAGTAAGGGAGATGATATCGTGTTGAATTGCTTGGGAAATGCATATTAATAAGCTAAGGCAAACATAATAGTGACTAAATTTATTGAACACTCACTGTGTGCTGGACATCATTCTGTGTTCTCCATATAAATTAACTGCTGTATTCTTCTCAGTAGCCACATGAGGTCTGCATGTGTTATTATTATCTCCATTCTATAGAAGGGAAAACTAAAGGACGAGAAGGATAATAACCATGACCACCATCACATAGTTAGAGATGGGCTTTAAACGCAAGCATTCTGATTCCACAGGCCCTATTATTAACTACTGATGTGTAACACCTGGTTCAAAGTTTTATTAGTGCATTAAATTTGCATCACTGTTGAAAATTATAACACTTTCTAATCTGACCTTTTGATTACTTTTCCCTTAATAAAAATTAGTGGGAAAAATAGAATTAATGCTTTTGCCTGTAAAACTTTGTTTTATAGGAAACAAAATTATAAGACAAGAAGAAATATATGAATGCCTAGACAAGAACTGATGACTGCTAGATTATGAGAAATTTCTCATTATACATCATATATTTTTAAATTCAAAAATGGAAACTTGAGTACCATTTGAAAGTATAAATTTTTTTTCTAATAGTTTTAATTCAGGATATATAGGGCTAAAGTTTTTTTTAAATCAAGAGTATGTACATTACCAATTCAAATGATTATGGAAATGTTTTTAACAATTAGAGTTTCTTAAAACTTAAGAATTTTAAATCACCTGTTTCATCTTTCCCCATTGTCTTCATCTGGAGTATGCACTGCAAAGAGGATATAAAGTATAACATAAAAACACCTGTGAAATTATCTTGGTAAAATTAAGAAGGCTCTGTTAATTTTTACACTGGGATCTTTTGACATGAATCAAAGTAATTGTTATGACAAAAATTTGGGGGGAAAAATTTAGCAATTTTAATTATTATCCAAATAATGTTAACCTGAGGCACATGGGACTTATCATTAGCAAAGTGAAATACTGATTGGTTAAGTATGGTAATACATAAAAAATATTTTTGCACAGTGTCCGACAATAAATGTTAGTCAATGTTATTTCTCCCTGAAAGTGATGAGTCATATCAGTTGATATGATTAATAATAATATTAACCATGAATACTAATTCATACATAATGCACTTATACCAATGTGTACATCTCTTCTTTGAAGCTGTTGGAAATGCTCAAGGCAATGCATATATTTGCTGTGATTCATGGATATGAAGAATGTGATATCTCATTTCTATGTATGCTCAGCT